TTTATTATTGTAAGTATTAGTCCTCCGAAGAATAGCTGGCAAAGTTTTCTCCCCCATTTTTGTAGGTTTAGACTTATACTGGTTGACAATGTACTTTTTTTTCCTGAGACAGTGTCTTGCTTTATAGTTCAGGCTGGCCTTGAGCAGACTATTGCACCCAGGCTGGCCTCAAGCTCATAGCAATCCTCTTGCCTCTGCCTCCCAAGTGCTGGGATTACAGGCTTGCACCACCACACCTGGCTGATAATGTATTTTTACATATGCTAATTTTTAGTAATTTCTCTCAATTTTATATGGTTTTGACTCACCATTTTATGATTTAAAAATGCTATTAATCATAGTTACTATCTTTTGAGTGAATGAAGACTACATGAAATGTATGTTGGTGTTACATTAGCAGAGTTAAAAGTACATGCCAAAAACTAACAGTTAGTAAACTGACTATATTATTGTTGTTATCATTACAATCATCTTGTAACTTTCATTCCCTAGTTAAGAGTCAATGAACTGGAAAATGTCTATTTTTACCCTCACAGGGAACCAAGAAGTTTTTTTGGTACCTGCTAATGGTGGGGAGTAGTTCATTTGCATGGGTAAAAGAACTGGTAACAGAGGCAGTAGAAATTGCTGCTCCTAAAATTGTCAAAATCAAACGTGGGGTCTGCATTTCTGGAGAAAGGAAGACCAGGGAGAGTCAGTAAATCTGAGTGGAAGGAATCAGAATTCTCAAATCACAAATGGAAAGTACCCCTGTTGGAGATGCACACAAATGTAAAATATGTTGTAGAGAAACTACAGAGGTTGAACTTGTGCTATGGCTAATAAACTGAGAAATGTGACTTATCTACATATTTGGTTTATGATGAATAAAATATTCTGAATACTTTGATTAACTTTCCTTGTTTTTCTGGGGATTTCCAAAGAAGGAGAAAGGATTGTGAGTTCAGAAGGAATTCACCTTCCTCTTTTCTGTTCAGTGTATGTCTGTCCTTCATGCAGAGTGTCACCGATCTGAAAATTATGGATGGGTGTGAGATGCACCTAGGTACTCCAGGAGTTTAAGACCAATACACACAATAATGACATAAGGTCAACATTGTAAAAGACAGTCATCAAATGACAGAAGTCCCTTCTTAACAGCTAAGCTGGAAGATGTCTTGATCTAGAATAATGTCTCTGGATTCAAGAATAAGGACTTCTGCTAAGGAAAAAGTCAGACTTTGGAAACTGCGGAAGGAAAGTTGAACGAGTTAGCTTTCTGCTACACAAAAAGCTAATGAGAATTCTAAACATCACAGTGGTGTCTGTTGTATGGCAGCAAAGTTGCGCCATTACTGATATTCAGTGGAAATGAAGGTGACTAGTATGGGCCTTTGTGAAGCACACTACTACTTGGGAAGCTCAATGAGGCACAGAGACCACCTGGGTTCCTCTATTCATTATGTATATTCATTCGGTTCAGAGAAAACCAATTCTAAGAGAGAATTCTTTTATGCTCTATATTTTGTTACTACTGTATAGCTTTTCTGTACTTAAAAACAAGGGATTTTTGTTTTCTTGGGTTGAGATGACTCCCTAGAGCACAGTTGCATTTGTGGTGACCTAATAATGATACTTACATAGAGTCCAAGGAATAAACTGTCACTGAAGATGAAGTAATTGGACAGAACTGGATAGGGTCAATGACTGGTCACCTCAGACACAATTATTAGGTCTACATCTGACATGCTTGCTGTGAAGTCTGATTCCCCAAAGAACAGATGATCCACTGCTGACCAGAGAAGCTCAAGAACAAGTGGCACTAGTTTCCAGACTCATCTATGGTGTAGAGAAGACTGAGCACATATCTGAGCCAAACAATACTGACCTTTGGATCATTCCGCAGGAGCTTAATGGAAGACTTTCTTCTAAATACCAAGGTTGGTTTCAGGGAATCTTGAGGACTAATTCCTTCAGGTCCACATAGATGTGATTTTCATTCCTCTGGGGAACAGTCATAAGAGATTTCTTTTTTTGCCCTGTGCTCTTTCCTCACCTTGAGGCACAACAATGCCAGAATTAAGATTCCCACCACAAACATAAAAAACAGTTGGCTTATTTGACGACCCAAGTGATTCAATGTCCAAAAAGCAAGATAAATGCTTGGGATTTTGACTATTCCAATGATAGCTGGCAAAAGGAAGATGCTATCCCCCAGCTGATGTAAGTGGAGAATCAAGCCAGAACAGGGCAGCCGTGTTGCAAATCTGTAGTGGACAGAGAAAAGACACGTCAAAGGGTTTATAGTTTACAACATAAAGATGACATCATATTACCCCATGAAGCCAAGTGTTGATGTTAAAATATAAAGCCATATCAGTTTTGTAGAATATTTCTTTGTAGGTGATAATTTCATAATCATAAAATAGCTACATGATGACAAGCTATAATTTCTGCTAAGTTTATTTCGGGTGTGAGAGGGTGTTGTGCATGTTACATGATGGGATCTTCTAGGGTTTAGAATTTTTCCTAAATGTGACCTGATAAAGGTATAACTACATACATAAATAATCATTCAGCTGTTTATATTTATGTACTTTATTGTTTACTTCTATCTATCTTTTACCTCCATGGAAGTGGAAACAAAGTCTGTGCCATGATTGACGTTCTCAGCATTAGTCTCTGGTGATGATCTGGGCTAGGTGATGTGATGACCAAAACTCACCGTACAATTAGTTCCATCAGTTTTTTTCAAAGCTGTTTGACTACTACCAGCCTTAGCACTTGTGTTTGTCTTCCTAATAATTTGTCCCAAAATTGGTTTTCTGCAACAAATTATATCTTTTGAAATAACAGTTTCATGTCTCCAGTATTTTAAAAGGCAGTATGTGAAACCTACCTCATGAAGGATGAGTCACACTTGTTTACACAGGTTGGGTGACTGGAACACATCACACAGAGAAGGTTTTTTTCTGGGCTGCCTCCATCTCCTCCTTCACAGTGGATGTCACAACCTTCAACAGTGACAGCAACAGCAAATTATTCAGTTGTCACAGCACAAAGAACATTGTGAGGAGCACCAAGAGCTCATAAAGGACAGGCTCACTGACTGCCCTTTTTCTCCAGTGGAAAATATAAACATAAAAGAAGCAATGGCAGGTGTCAAGAGGGTGGAAAAGAGGAATTTGGGAGTTAAAAGAATCTCAGGGAAGTTCTGCAGTGAGGACATATGAAACATATGACAGAGCACTGCAGAGTGTGCAGGTTAGTCAGATGAGGAAGGAAATGAAATGATGTGTTATTTAGATTATAACCAGATGGGCATGGAAGACAGGGCAATTGAAGTTGATTCTCCACTTGTTGTCAGTGGAAGAAAGACCATTTCTCTATCTTAAGCTAGTGAATAATTTTCTGAGTCTTTATTTCAATTTTTGGCTCATCTTATTTTAGAAAGTCTTGGCATGTAGTTTCTTCATGAATGAGATGTTTAGAATTAAATTAAAGATGAAATCAGTGGAGATCTTGATTTAGTATGGTTTATGTCTAGATGTGATTTCTAGTCTGGAGTTATCTAATGGTTTTGCACCTTGCTAGGTAGATACCTTGAGAAAGGTGACTGAATATCTCTAAACCTCAATTTCCTTCTCATTAACATGAAGAAGAAAAATAAGGAATAGAAAAAGGATCAGGGAAAGAACAGGAGAACAAAAATAGTAATAACTTTCTCACAAAGATTTCCTAAGGCATTCAGGAGGTCACAAATGTGCATATCAAATTATAGTGATACCTTGGTTTATGACTTGATTCTTTTCAAGATTCTGGTTTCAAACTGAGTTGGACAAGAACTAAATCAAATTCAATGGCTAGGTTCAATGTTGACATTATAGGGAAATTTGATTCAGTTCTAGTCCAGTTTGGTTTGTGACCAGGGTCATGGAGAAAATTGAGTTTGTGAACTGAGGTACCACTGTAACTTGAGCAGAACTCAGGCAGTTATTAATTTGTTAATTATTAAAAAATGTTAGCTCCTTTGTCGTCCCTCCTCTACAAATTACACAAGATTACAAAGTTCACTGAGAAAATTCCATGATGAAGGGAATTTAGAGATAGGACGTGCCCCCATGACTAAGGATTCTTACACCAAGAATGACTTGCAATTCTCAGCTTATGCTATTCGGCTTATGGTATCGGTGCAGAGGAGTTATGATGAAGCCCTCTGCTTTAAATACTATAAACCTGTGTTTACTGGCCATAGTTATGTTAGTGTTGGAGAATGACTCCAAGACCTTATACCTGGGCCACATGAGAATTGCTGTCTGTGAGACTGGCTTTCAAACCCATCCAATATTAGAATAAGATATCAGAGTATGCTGAAGTTATTTTGTACTGGCTCCTTACTTTTGATGATAAAATAGAAATGTGAATGGAGTTTCTGGAAATTTTTATGCAGTGGATGCCAGATCACTTACAGGGAATCTTACCTGTCCTGTCTAGGGTGAGGAGGAACACAGTCAAGTGAGAATTTGTTGGTTCTTCACTGTGATTGTTTATACCTAGATGTCCCCCACAAGCTTTATGTGTTCATATGAAGGGCTTTTGGAAGAGAACCGGGCCCCAGGAGTACTATAATTGACTTACTGTTAGGAGGGAGGAGTGGTTGGGGGAGGCAAGCTATGGGAGGTGTGACTGGAAGGGTATATCTCTCCCTCCTTGGCTTCCTTCTTCTTTCTCTGCTTTATGGCCACCATGAAGAGAAGCTTTCTTCCACTCAGACCCTTACACAATGTAGTTTCTATGTTCGGGCAAACATGGATAGAAAATTCTGAAACATGAGCCAAAGTAAGTCTCTTCTCCTTTAATTTTTCGGTGTTGAACATCGAATCCCAGTGATGAGGAAAGTGTTTAAGACATTGACATTTTATTTATTAGGACATGTGTGCAACTTACTTTGGAGAGTAAGATACATGTAGGGAGTAGGTATGTATACTTAATATATATTAATTGTTTTTATTCTCTGGTCCCTCCCAAATTCCCTTCCCCTTCCCCTCTACATCCTCTAACCCCGTTTTCATTGTTACTGTTTTTTAAAACTTTTATTAGTACAGGTTTACAGGATGTAATGATTACATTCTCTGTAGGGGATTGGTACAGGTACATAACAGGTTTCAATTCCCTCCTTTTTTCCCTTCCTCAACCCCATTTATTTTTCCAGCATCAGATTCATTTATTTATCTTATATGACTACATGAAGTTAAGCGTCATACATTATTATTGTTATTATTATTTTTAGCGCATGTTTGTGACATATAATGATCACATTCATAGCGGATAGTGGGCACATGTACATGACACTTTTATCTTCCAGTAGGTTAAGGGTTTCTGTTTTATTTTAATTTAGGGAGGAAAAAACAGTAAAAACAGTACAGAATTTCAAAACAAGATGATAGGAAATTAACAATGGCTGTTATATTGCATATTATTATCTTTAAAATAGTTGTTCAGATTACCAGATATAGGGATGTAAAATTAATCAACACTTGGGCATTAACTCTTCCTTTCAATAAACCAATAGAAATTAGTAGTACAATTATCTTAGCTATCTTGTGTGTGTATATATATTTTCCCTTCCTTCTTTCTTTTTCCCTTTCCCTCATCCCAGTTGTTCTTTCCTTGTAAGCAGTTTCTTTCCCTTTCACAATATCTATTGTACTGTTTGGATTTTATTTACTCTTTCAGTTTCTTACACTAGGGAGACAATATCGTGCTTACATATGGGTGTCTGATTTATTTCACTTATGGGTATGGTCTCTAGTTGCATCCATTTACCCACAAAAGCCTCGAGTCTTTTTATAACTTTTATAGCTTTTTAATAACTTTCTTTATAGCTGAGTAATACTCCATTGAATAAAAATACCACATTTTTTATCCATTCCTCAGTTTATGGGCATTTGGGTTTTTCCCAAAATTTAGCTATGACAAATTGTGCTGCTATAAACACGGGTGCACATATATCACTGTGATATGATGTCTTCAGTTCTTCTGGAAAAATACTCAGAAGGGGAATAGCTGGGTTGAATGGGACCTGTAATCCTAGATTTTTGAGCAATCTCCACAATGGTTTCTAAAGGGGTTGTATCAGTCAACACTTCCACCAATAGGGTTCCTTTCCCCCCACAGCCTCACTAGCATTTGTTATTGGTTGACTTGATGATAGCCATTCTTTCTGGGGACAGGTGGAATCTCGATGTTATTTTAATTAGTATTTCTCAAATGACCAATGATATTGAACATTTTTCACATATTTATTTGCCATTTGTATTTGTTTATCTGAGAAGTGTGTATTCATCCCTGATGCTCATTTTAAAATTGTGTCTTTGAATTTTGGGGGCCTGATTTTTTAAAAATTCTTTATATGTTCTAGATAGAAGTCCTTTGTCTGAGGGGCAGTTCTTCAAGATTTCTACTACTTTCTCTTCCAGAAGATTTAGTGTTTCTTTTTTAATGTTTAGATCTTTGATCCATTTTGACTTTAGTGATAAACATGGGTCTAGTTTTAGTCTTTGGCATGTGGAAAGCCAGTTTTTCCAGCACCTTTTATTAAAGAGGCTATCTTTCCTCCAACGAACATGTTTGGCCCGTTTTTCAAAGATGAGATGGCTGAGTGTGGTTTTTTGTTTTGGTACCTGGAATTGAACTCACGACCTTGCACTTGCCTGGCAGGTGCTGTGCCACTGAGCTAAATACCCAGCCCCTAGCTGAGTGTGTTTGTAGATGTGTCTGCATCTTTTAGTCTGTTCCATTGATCCTCAATTATGTTTTTTGCCAGTTTCATACTGATTTTATCACAGTAGCTTTGTAATATAACTTCAAGTCAGAGATTGTGTTGCCTCCTGCCTTGGCTTTGTTGCCTAGCATTGCTTTTGCTACTCTAGGCCTCTGGTGGTTCCCGATGAGTTTTAGAAATATTATCTCTACATCTGTGAGGTATACTAATGGTAGTTTGATCAGCATTAGATTAAATTTGTTTAATAGTTTTGGGAATATGTACATTTTATAATGTTGGCTTTTCTATCCGTGAGCAAGGAATATCTTTCCATTTCCTGAAATCCTCTTCAATCTCTTTTTTCAGAGTACTGTAATTTTCAGTGTATAGATATTTTATTTCCTTTGTTAGATTGATTCCTAAGTATTTCATTTTTTGGGTGCTATTGTGAAAGCTGTAATTCCCTAATTTCTCTCTCAGTGTGTTTTTTGTTTGTGTACAAGAATGCTATTGATTTTTGAGTATTGAGTTTGTATCCAGCTTGCAAGTGAATTTGGTGATTAACTCTAGGAGTCTTTGGGTGGATTTTTTGGGGTCTTGTATGTAGAGTATTATGTCATCTGTGAACAGGAATAATTTAACTTCTTCCTTTCCTATCTTTATTCCTTCTACTTCTCTCTCTTGTCTAATTGCTCTGGCTAGTGTTTCCAGAACAGTGTTGAAAAGGAGCAGTGATAGTGGACATCCTTGTCTTGTTCCTGACTTTAGAGTGAAAGTTTTCAGTTTTGTCCTTTTAGTATGATGTTGGCTGTTGGTTTGTCATAGATGTTTCTTATCAATTTGAGGTAAAGACCATCTATTCCAATTTTCTCTAGGGTTTTTATTGTGAATGAGTTCTGGAGTTTGTAAAAAAATTTTCTGCATCTATTGAGATGATCATCTGATTTTTGTCTCTGGCTCTGTTGATGTGGTGTATTACATTTATTGATTTGTGTATGTTGAACCATCCTTACATTCCTGGGATAAATCCCACCTGGTCATGGTGTAGTGGATTGACAACTGGTGGTCAACTTATAACCCCCAGCTGAACTGAATAACTATGGTGCTGGGTGTGGTGGCCCACCTGAGAATTGTTGCCAGCAGCATAAGAAGTAGAACTGGAGAAGAAGAAGGGAGGCTGTTGGGAACTGAAAAAGGCTGTTGGGAGCTGGTAGAAGCTGTAAGAAGCTGTTGGTTCTCTTGGAGGAGCTTATCACACTGGCTTTCCTGGTGAAGTTGGCTGTTTTCATCCTCTGAGGAGCTCAGGACCTTGTTGGCACTGAGAATGGCTTTGGTTCACTTTGGGGGAGCTCTGGTCCTCACTTTAAGCATCACTTCCTGGCTCCACAGGGGATGATGGTGCACTGCCAGTGTACTGGAGATGCTTGCTGAGTTGGATTACCTGATGGGAACTTGACCATCCTGATCATCTGAGGAACTCAGGACCTCACTGTTGTTGAGGATGGCTGTGGTACCTTTCAGGGGAGCTCCAGTTCTTCCTTTGAGGATCACTTCCTGGCTCCAGTGTAAATCCCTCAGCTTGCTAGCACAGATCCTTTATCCTGCTGGCACAGACTTTCTAGATTCCACCACTGACCTTTGGGACTTCCCAGTGCAGATGTGTGAAATTTGCCTGCTCGAGATGGTGTCTTGGGCTCTGAGCCTCCAGTTGGATTCATGGGAGGCATTGTTATGGGTTCTAGGTCTTCAGCTGGACTCATGCAGGACATTATCATGGGATACAGGCCCTCAGCTAGATTCCTTGGTCTATATTTTGTGAACATATTTCCTGCACTCTTTTGTATATCATTCTTTGGGTGACTATTATAAATAACCTTATAAAACATGTGTCCTGTATTATATTGTCTCCCCTTGCAAAATAAGTCCCAAACCATGACACATGGTGTATAATCTTTTTGAAGATTTGTTGAATTCTGTTTGCTAGTACTTTATTTAGGAGTTTTGCATGTATGTCCATTAGGGAGATTGGCCTGTAGTTCTCTTTTTTTGGTTGTATCTTTCTCTGGGTTTTGTATCAGGGTAATACTTGCCTTCAGGAATGAGTTAGGGAATATTGCCTCCCTTTCAATTTCATTAAAGAGTTTAAAGAGTATTGGCTTTAGGTCTTCTCTCAATTTCTTGTGGAATTCAGCAGTGATTCCATCAGGGCCTGGGATTTTTTTGGTTTTTATTTACATTTTCAGTCTCATTAACTGATATTGGCTTATTGAGAATTTTTATATCTTCTTGATTCAGCTTTAGTAATTCATACGTATATAAGAATGCCTCTAATTTTTTAAATCTGTGTCTACTCTAGATTCACTAACAAGTACTTTTTTATAGTCATCAACTCTTTATGTGATAAATTATTTCTGAGCTGATTTTTTATAGCTTCATTTATCTATTTTGTTACTTTCTGTACTACCATTTTAGAAAATTCAGTTGGTAGCTTCTGCCTTCCTCCACCTCACTGCCACCTAGACTTGCCCTGGGTTGGCTGAAGGTTTGGGGTTGCATCTAGTTTTTGCATTTTATCATGTTATAGTTTTAAAAAAATCCTTTTTTGTTGGTGCTTGTAAATTCCTTATAGTAGGTAACTGTTATGGTTGAAACATTGTGTCAACTTGGGGAGTCTAGAGGTTTGGCTAAGTGACTCAGCAGGAAGCCAGGGTGCTTACTTTGTA